CGTCCCGAGAAAATCAAAAGACATAAATCCATAAATAGGAGTTTGTTAAGAACTCAGGATTAAGATCATTCTCTATATGACCATCGGTAGACTCAATTAGAATTTCTATGCTTAACCGAAATTATTAGAAATTCATATTGTGTTTATGTCCCTGTTCCACATAATCTCATTATGCGAAATACACTTATTCAATATCTCACCATATTAACAGTGCGGATAGCACCGTTCCATTCTAAATGGGAATGACATGTATTAATAATGTTTTAATTAAAGATTCCGAACTTTAATTAAATTCATTATGAACAACGTTATTGATTATTATCCTTAAACATTATCCTCTCGTATATAACACTTATATATAATGTTTAAGGTTACATAAATAATCACAAAATTTTCATTTGATATTCATAAAATATTCATAAATATATGCACATAAAATGATGAATAAACTCTTTTATTAATTAAATAATAAATATCATATTACATCTTATGCTTCTAGGAAACTATTCCCAACAGGATTGAACTATATGCAGTGACTATATCAAATGGAAACTTCACAGTTTAGAAGTAATTAATGTCTATAATTTTGAAAGTGAAATTCCAAGTTTCTAGTGGAGTAATTATTGAAACTAATAGAATTAAGTAATTAATTAAAGTGTTTAATTAATTATTAATTTTATTAGAGCTCGGGATTATAGGTCCATTAGTCCCCACGTCGTCCAGTAATTCTACAAGACACAAAGGGCAAAATGAAAATTTTAAACCTACGGAATTCTAAAATTAAACACTAAAAAATACTTAATTGTGAATTAATTATTATTTAAATAATGAGATAATTTAAATTTGAATTTGAACACATCTAGATTTATCCATTTAAACTTATTTGATAAGTTGGTCAATTTAGAATTCAAATTAATTTAAGTTTGACTTAAATTTGAATTTGAATTTGAATCAAAATTGGACTATAGGATAAATTATGATTTTCTCTTCCTTCCTTAGCTGTAATTGGCGCCACACAGGGATGAGAATCCTCATACATGGCCGGCGACATTAAGGATAAGGGAGTATGAGATGTTGTTCTAAATTCAAATAGGAGATAATTAATACGCTTTATCTTAGAGATAGAGATTGGATGAAGTTTGACTTCTACTCTATAAGAGAACGATAGAAAATTATGAGACAATTTTTTGTCCTTTTTTTTTGTGGCCAAAATTCTTAGTGTGGGAAGGAAAAATTTTTCTCCAAAAAATTCCACATCGTGCATGCGTTGGTGTTTGTGAAAATTCGAGTGTTTATTCTAACCCGTTTTGTCTCAGGTGTACCCACACACACGTCTTCATGGATTCTAGGAATTGACGGGGAAGACATTGGTTGTCTAAACACAAGGCTTTGGAGCAAGGATTGCTCGTGGTCAAAGAACTCAAGTTATCATCCTAATCGACCGCCAGGTATAATTCCTAATTTAGTTCTTATTAAATAAATTAATGTGATTAATTTATTCGTGCATAAATTAATATAATCTATAGAGTATCTCAAAGGTTTTATGAAAATTTTTCTTATACATGATCCGCTACCCTCACGCTTCCGCATCTGAATTCGATTCGAAAACCAAAAATTGGTATGAAAGCGGTCTAAAGATGATATTAATTTATGCTTTGATTATGTGATAATTAAAATTAGTATATTAAATATGTGATATTTAATTATGTATGTATGTGATGGGAAGGCACTTGCTTTTTTGGATGTTTATATTTAATTCATGTTGATGAATGTATGGATGGTGGATTTGGTTGTTAATTATATGGTTCCATAGATCGCATTAAATCGTTCAAATTAAATTATTTGTAATTTTATTCGAGATTAGAATTATTGTAATTCTAGGGTTTGGATAGATTAGGTTTTGATTTTGAATCAAAACAAGCCCAGAAAATCACCGTATGCAGCCCCGGAGAACTGGCCAGAAAACTGCCCAAACTACCCTGGACAAGATAGCCCTGTGCGTGCCCAGAGAGCACCGCGCGCGCGCCCACCCAGCACGCGCGCCAACACATGCCAAGCGCGCGCGGTGCTCAGCTAGTGTGCGCCAAGACGCACACCAGACACTGCCAGTGGACTTCAATCGAGGCCGAGAGTTTTCAAAACCCTCATTTTGTGTGCCGAAGGACCCAGAAGAGTTCCGAGCTCTGAGGAGGTGGAATCCGACCCGAAGACGAAGAATGAAGCCAAAGAATGAAGAATTCAAGAATTGAAAACCCATTGATGTAACGGAAGCAAATAATTATTGTAATTATTTATTTATTCGATTTGGTTGTAATTTATATTTTTCATGGGACCCGGTCAAATCCATCTTAATAGCCGATTGTATATATTTATATTTTATGTTGATAATTATATATTATATGTCCATGCATATAACACGCCATATAGATATAGTGTACCTACTCATATGTTTTATAACATGTCATACATACACGCGCATTTATTATTATTTATTTTATTTATTATAAAAGAGTTTTAGAAAAATAAAATAAAATAAGATTCATGGGCTAAAATTGATTTAATATGATTAAATTGATTTAAGTTGTAAAATTGATTTGTAAAATAATGTTACATGTGAAATTGAATTTAAGAGTTAAATTTTAAAATTTCACATATCCGAAAAAGAAATTGTTTATTTATCGGGATTTGAAAACCTTGAGATGTTTTTCAAATAAAATACATATTTGTAAAATAATGAGTGGGAGAGGGTTGTATGACAATACAATCCACTGGTCTCCATCGTTAGTTCAACACCATGAGATTCGAAAGGGGCTTCGTGGCTGCACCGATTCCGCACTCCCTACGGAAAGTGTTCTTTCGGGTCAATAACAAGGTTGACTTCCTAGGGATAGGATTCAAAGATGTATTTCTGGTTTGACCTACCCTACGGTGACACTCCGGAGTTAAGTCCATAGAATCCAATACGATGGGTTACACTCATGAAAATAGAGTCAAATTTGATTGATTATATTTTTGACCAAAATAATGGTAGTTGATAAATATGAAAATATGAGATATTTTGATTATATTTATTAATTAAGAAGGTCTCAGTTCAATTTGTGATATTTTGACCTACCCTACAGCGGCATTATATGCGTGGTAAATTAGATTATCGTTGGCCCCTAAAATTAAAACATGATTTATGTATTTTTCATGTGCATCATGCATCATATTTAATTCTGCTTAAATTTACATGTTTTGATATTCATGCACATAAATTAATTAGATGAATATTCTACTTATTTCCAGCAATATGTCAAATCCTATAATCTCACTACACAAAACTAAAACACTAACTAGAGATAAACTATGCGAAGTGGTAAAGTAACATAAACAACTCACATTCATGTGATGAATATAAGTTTGTCCCAAAATGGAGGATTGTCCTCCTGTCCCTAATGAAACCACTGTAGTTAACTGTTAGCTAGGGTTGTGTGTGGTAATTCACAAGAAATATGAAGGCATAGAAACAACTTTTGAGATAATGCAATCATCAAATACCGTATCTAAAAATCCATATAAGAAAAGCTTGGCTAAATACTGTAAGGGCCCTGACCAAAATACAAAGGGAAAGTTGTTTTCGCCAAAATAAAGGAAAAGAATCAAGCGAATATGATTTGCTAGTTCTGTAAACATGTTTAGTAAACGGTGATTCCTATTCCTGGATAGTAGATTCGGGAGTTACTACTCATGTTTGTTTTCTTTATTAAGTCTTAGCTATCACAAGGAAAGTCGTTTCCACTAAAATAAAGGAAAAGAATCAATCAAATACGATTTGCTAGTTCACTACTACAATTTGGGCTCTTTGCGACGAAAATTGTCGTCGCAAATAAATGAATATTTGCGGCCACATGTCATCGCAAAAATTTTTGTAAAACTGAAAAATATTGTCATCGCTAAAAAGCTCACACGTCGTCACAAATATTTACTTGGTGGCATATCTTGTATGGCGTGAACTTTTAGCGCCAAAATAACATTATTTGTAACGACATGTCGTCACAAATAATTAATTTTTTTTGACGACACATGTGTCGTCGTAAATAAAATTTAATTTATTTATTTTCCGCCGAGCAAAAAGGATTAGACACAAATCCAATCTTTTTTCACCAAATTAATAACGTGGGGCTGCGGATTCTCATCACTATCAACACTTGGAAACATTAAACAATTACATTACTCTTATTATCGAGTGGGGTGACGTAGCGGTAATGAATTATCATGATAAAAAATTCTGAGCGGTACTCAATCCTTCTTAGACCTTTTTTTTATTTAAAAAATGTATATATTTATCTTTATCTATTTTCATGCATTAAAATAATTCCCAATCATTCCATCTTGTGTAGAGAACTTAATAAGGAATCCCAGCTTCGAATACGGTCCATACGTGTTCAACACCACCACAGGCGTCCTAATCCCTCCAAACATTGAAGACGACCACTCTCCACTCCCTTACTGGATGGTGGAGTCCCTCAAGGCCGTCAAGTACATCGACTCGGACCACTTCTCGGTGCCCCATGGCAAGCGAGCGGTCGAGCTCGTCGCGGGGAAGGAGAGTGCCATCGCACAGGTGGTCCGGACTATTGTTGGCAAGACCTACAGGCTCACATTCTCCGTTGGCGACGCCAGCAACTCCTGCGAAGGGTCCATGATCGTGGAGGCATTCGCGGGGCGCGCCACCGTGAAAGTGCCGTACGAGTCCAAAGGCAAAGGAGGATTCAAGCGTGGAGTGCTCACTTTCGTCGCCACCGAGACGAGGACGAGGATCATGTTCCTTAGCACGTTTTACTCCATGAGGAGCGATGATTTCTCGTCCCTTTGTGGTCCGGTTCTTGACGACATCAAGTTGTTGAGCGTTCGCAAACCAAAGTGAGAAAAAAGCGCAAATTAAAAAGATAAGAGATGTATTTTTATATGTATGATGATGTGGTGATCAATACCTTAATTTGGTCTCGGATTATATGTTATATGATCACGAGTTGGAATACTTTTTCTTTGTGTTTCGTAATAGAAGCCGAGGGAAAATTTTAATTAGTGTGTGTTTTTTTTTAGACTAAGATGGGGAAATAAGCGTATTATATGTTATATGATGTATACTGGGTGGGGGAGGAATGAGGATAATGTATGATAGTTTTGATTTTGTTGGAGTGGTCACTTTTGTGTAATTCCAACGATTTGAGTTATGAAGTGGATGTTATTAGTGACTTCCACAGTGGAATGAGCCATTTTATCAACTCGCACTTGGCTTATATGGTGTTTTCTCGGTTGTGGTTTTGAGTACCAAAATGCCATAATAAATGTCACGTCTTTAAGTTTCAACCTTCGTAATGAGTCAATCCCTCTAGTGCGGAAAGAACCTCGGTGAGCCATTGCAACAACAATGCATCACGACATCAAACTCTGATTGATTCACAAATAATAGTAGTAAAAACTCCAACTTGATTAACTTAAAACACATTCTCCGTGTTTTGTTGTTTGATTAGTCATATATATATATATATATATATATTATACTCAAGGTGCCCCAAAAGAAGGTAATTACAAATAATTAAAAAAAAAGATTTTTTTTGGTGAAACACCACTAAGTGCTCTACGGTGGAACAATATTTTCTTTACTGTTAGATTACTTTTTCAACAGTCAAATCTACAACAAGAGTAATCCTGTACGACGCGTTATAAATTTTTTATACGAATCTACGCATATCTGACCGTTAAAAGCCTACTAAATATTAATGACATTCTTAACAATTTCTCAAAGTTTAAGTCATTTAAGAATATTTTTCAAAGAAAAAATAAAAAATACCACTTAAGATGGTAAAAAGTATTCTTTATGCTACTTCACTTAAAAATAAGTAATTGTCATTCAATTATTAAAGAGAAAATAAATACGATAATACCCAATTATTTAGAATAATATAAATAATAGATATGCACAAAATTATGACAATTATATATTTTTATATTTTTATTAATTTAATAAAAATATATTTTTACTATGCCATTTTAATGACATAAATATTAATTAATACTACTATACTACCTACTCTATTTAAAAAAATAAAAAATATATATTTAAGAGTGCATGAGTCTAAATTTTATCCCTTATTCTTGATAAATATTTTTTTATTAGTATAATTATTAAACTAAAAAAATTATAAATTAAGAATAAAAAATAAAGATATTAATTTATTCACTTTTAAAAGAATATTTATCAAGATTCCTCCTACTATTTTGAGTGGTATTTTTAGTTTTTGTTGTTGTTGAAGTAGCGGCGGCAATGTTGTACCATCGCGCTCCGGATCTCAAATATGTGACGGAGCGACCGTCACAAGCGAGGATGAGCCCATTGCTATCAGCCCATTAAATTCTCAAAGGCCCAAACAAGCCCGAAATTAAACGAGAAAATTACAACATTTATCCTTAAAAGTAATATAGACTTTTACCGTAAATATCCAGTAATTATTTAACTAAAAAAATTATGAATTAAAAATAAAAAATAAGAATCATGATTGTCAAGATTACCCTAATTAAATTCACCCGTTACAACACATCTGACAAAGAAGCCACGTGGAAGTAAAAAAAGCAATCTTGCAGATCAATCGGACGGTTTAAAGAGCTGCGTCCGTTTGAAGCGAAGTGAAAAAAACACTAGGGTCTCAGCGTCTCTCAAGGCGCTCCTCGTATATAAACCCACCACAAATTCTGAAATCCTTCCCTCTCACACTCTCATTTGTTCTCTGCGCCACTCCAACCCTCGAAGCAAATTCAAATATGGTAAATCTTCTATCGCATTTTCTTCCAAACTTTTGCGTTTTCTTTCTTCGATCTTCGTCTTTCCTTTTGTTTGGTTGCTGAGAAAGCTGATTCTTGTTTGTGCATTTCAATTTTTCTTTTGAAAACTTTCAGGCTTTGCCGAACCAGCAGACGGTCGATTATCCTAGCTTCAAGCTTGTAATCGTTGGCGATGGTGGAATAGGTAATTTTCCTCTCCGAAAGTTTGTTTTCTGCCATGATCTGTTGGTTTTCGTTTGAATTTAGGATGATAAGAGCTTTTTCTCCTTTCAAGTGAATCTCTGCTTTCTTTTTAGGTAAATGAACAACTGGTGATTCGATTCTTCTTAGATTTGCAGTTTTGATTTGTGTTTTATGCTTTTTGTGCATGTTGTTTGGCCAAACGAGTTCCACTGAACAACATTTTTAGTTGCCTTTGAATTTGTCTTTGACCTGAAATCCAAAATAATCATTTCAAATCTTTGAATTCAATTATATTTGCTGTCTGATCTAGTGGGAAACATATTCTTTTTTGTTCCTTTTGTTGTCTGTTGATCTGAATGAGTTTTGTTCTGAGCCGTGTTCCTGTATTCTTGTTAGATATACGGATTCAGTGATACATTATTTTCCTCTGAATTATTCTCTCTTTTCTTCATTGAAAGTGTTTGGAGTGATGCAGGGAAAACAACGTTTGTGAAAAGGCATCTTACTGGCGAATTAGAGAAAAAATATGAACGTGAGTGCCTCGCAAGAATTTCTTGTGGATTTGTACTTCTACATTGTTTACTTAGCGACAATAAAGGTTTTCTTTCTTGTTCTAAAGGCATATTGTTCCTGTTGCCTTTAAGAGGCAAGAAAGAGTGGCAATGATAATGAAAAAAATGTTTTTGTTTCTCTGTTTTTCTTATGGTGTTTTGGTGGTTTATAGATTTCATTTGTGCCATGTTTATATGTATAGCAACTATTGGTGTGGAGGTTCATCCGTTGGACTTTTTCACCAACTGTGGGAAAATTCGCTTCTCTTGCTGCGATACAGCTGGTCAAGAGAAGTTTGGTGGTCTTAGAGATGGATACTAGTGAGTACAGAAAAAAAAATACTATTTGCGACGACATATCTAAGGTGTCGTCGCAAATAGTTCACATTACTAGCGACGACGGTTTAGTCGCAAAAGGTTTTAAAGCCTTTTCTGACGACACTATGTCGTCACAAATACGGTATGACACGTCATCATCAACGACATATTCGATGGAACATTCGTGATGACTTATTCGCGATGTCTGTCGTCGCTAATATATTTGCGATGACATTCATAACTATGTCATCACAAATATATTATTTGCGTCTAATTATTTAGGTGACTTATTTGGGGACATGTCGTCGCAAATAAAGTATTTGCGATGACAAATCAGTTATTTGCGATGACATTGTATCGCCGCAAATGAGCTTTTTTGTTGTAGTGGTTCTAAAAACATGTTTTAGTAAAAGGGTGATTCCTTATCTTGGATAGTAGATTCAGGAATAACTAACTATGTTTGTTTTCTTTAAGTCTCAGCTCTTACAAGGAAATTATTTCCTGAAACAAAGAAGGAACTCAAGCAAATATGATTTGCTTGTTCTAAAAACATGTTTTAGTAAAAGGGTGATTCCTTATCCTGGATAGTATGGAAATCATTTCCACCTAAACAAAGAAGAAGAATCGAAATAAGATTTACTAATTCTAGAAACATCTTTAGTAGAGGGTGATTTCTCGTCCTGGATAGTTGATTCAGGAGCAATTAATCATGTTTGGGTTTCTTTGTAAAATATTAGTTCTCACAAAGATCTTGCTGTCAGGGACTACATGATTAAAGTGGCAAAACCGCGAGGGTACCGGCAAAAGCAGTGTGAGAAGTTAAACTTCAGTTTTGAAAATACGTTGTTGTGAACAATGTTTATTTCCCTCTAGGCATAAAGAGAAATTTAATTTCTAATTCTAAATTATTTGAACAATTGCCTTTAATAATAATCTAGTCCACATCTTTTGGAATAGTTCTGATATTTGTTCTGGATATTTAGAAAACGGTTTATACCGTTTAAACCGCTGCCTGGCACACTGCGTAATGTTGAAATGTTCAAAAGTTTCCGAACCTAAGAATAAGAAGCAAAGGATCTCTCACGATAAATAACACATATCTGTGGCATCTTAGACTTGGTCATATTAGCCTAAACAGGATGGAAAGATTGGTAAATGATGGTTCTATACGAAAACTAAATGTTAGTAAGCTTACAGTTTGTGAATCTTGTCTAGGAGGCAAAATGACCAAGAGGCCTTCAATGTCGAAAGGAGAAAGAGCCATAGAACTTCTTCAGCTGATACATTTGGATGAATGTGGACCTTTAAACGTCCAAGTAAGAGGAGGTTACGAATATTTTGTCACCTTTATTGATGACTATTCGAGATATAGTTATGTTTACCTAATGTAACGGACATCTGAAACTTTTGGAAAGTTTAGAGAGTTTCGAGCAAAAGTTGAAAAACAATTAGGTAAATCAATCAAGACACTTCGATCAGATCGAGAGGGTGAATACCTGGACCAAGAGTTCTAAGATTTCTTGATTGAAAAAGGTGTGGTATCCTAATTGACTACACCCGGTTCACCACAGCAGAATGGTGTAGCCGAAAGGAGAAATCGGACATTGCTTGACATGATGAGATCAATATTGAGTTATTCTTCACAGCCTACTTCGTTCTGGGGTTATGCCCTAAGAACCACTGTGTATATTATGAATCTAGTACCATCTAAGTCTATACTAAAGACACCCCTAGAGTTGTG